CTTTCATTCTTGCTTCCTTTACATTGGACCGAGTTCTCATGTCATCACACTCGCTTCCTCACCATATGGCCCATGTGCTAAGTTCTCCAGACTCTTACTTCTTAGATCCCCAAATGCCACTCATTATGAATGAAGCTAGGCCCTTCCAAGTGGAAAGCTACTTCTATAAGTTATTTTTTTCTTTGTCTTTTAAAACTTCCTTCTTTGTTCCTGGATTTTTCTGCTTGGAGGAAATGCATGTATTGATGTCACAGAATTATTCATTTCAAAAGATGAATTAATGTTTATTAAGTAGCTATATGATTTCAGGTTTGCAAATTTAAAATCTAATGATTAAAATAGGGATTAGCTGATCTAATTTGTCTTTGTTAAAATTGGTAAGCATCAGAAATAAGGTAATTTCTCTACAGTAGTCCTTTAAAAAATCACTGTCATTCCAAATAAGTAGCAGAATCAGGAACTGGAGGCAGTAAGACCAGGGAGACAAACTTTTAATGTTTTAAATAAACATGTGTGCAGCTTCATGTGCACACATATCTGTAAATGAGAATACATGTGCTAGTCTGCTCGAAGGCAGCCCAGTAACCTCAGGAATTCTTACAGATTCCCATAGGCATCTCATTTCACACACACTAATGCTGCATCACTAGACTGCAGCATAGAACCCGAGTTCTCTGTTCCCACCCTCTGACCCTGTCTCCTGGGTGCCTTGCTGAAGCGTAGGGAGCCTGATGAGTGTGTTTTGCTGCTTCTATTGCCACTGTCACCTGCCAAAGTTATGCTCCAGTGACACACACGGCACAAAGTCAACCCAACAAAGGAAGCTGCTCCCCTCCTGTCTTTGCACGGTCACTCCCATCCAGACCTCTCGCGTGCTTGTCTTCTGTGACACCATGTAGGAAAATGAACTTTTACCTCTTTCCATTTTCCCACTAGAGCCTCTCCCAGCTTGTAAAGAAGTGCCCCAGATCTCCCTGTGCTCTTACTGAGCACATTTTTCCTCCCATAGAGGGTTCTTGGCATATTGCAGTTATGGCCCCTGAAAATCTGCTCCATCACTGCCTATAGCACCCACTTTCTGAACTCTGATGCCACATACAACTAAGCTAAAGTCTAGACATTTGCTTCTTAAAATATATAACATCATTAATTAAATAGATCTTTATCTCCTAGTAACTGATTTTGTTATTTATTGCCTCTGATCATCTTCTAATGGGGAAGATGAAATTGCTACATTAGGTAATGCTTTCATTCGTTTTAGCTAAATCATGTGGAAACATGATTGTAGATTTTTACTTGTCTTGGGTCTAGAAAACAAACCAAGAACCATATTGACCACAGATAATATACCATACCATAAACTTTGAAAAAACAGGCCCAAAAGCTAGCCCACATGACACATGTCATGTATTTGGAACACAAGCTCTGTTTTTTTGTTGTTTTAAGCACTTTGGTAAAGATTTATAAAGCAGTAAAATCAACTGTTGAAGAATAATCGCGATGAAAATAGAATTGAGGATGTCTAATTTGCTGATGGTTTAGGAAAAACAGAAAGAGACAAAGTAATTTTCAATCCTAGAAAAAGAAAACAAAATATCACATTTCTGAAGATATAGCTCAAAAAATACACACTGCAATACTATCTATTTAAAGATACAGCTCAAAATAATACAAACTGCAATACTATCTATTTAAACATTTTCACAACTTGTAATCCTTTAACTTATTGAAGCATAAACAAAATATCTAATTTCCAACTATGTCTTAATTGTGTGCAATGGGAATGACATTTTATGTGTTATAGTCAGAAACTTAAAATTACCAATTCTTATTTGCATATTGTAGTATTTTGTTGAAAATATACATACAAAGAAAATGTAAAGCTAAATTCTTATACTAATTTCTTTGATATTGATATTTTACATTGTGTTAGGTATATGACTTCCTAAAAAGATGCTGTAAAGGCTGCCATGTGGCCCACTTTCTTCTTTGCAGATTCAGTAACAAATCTGAGATTTCATGAACTATGCTTCAGTGACATACTTCAGTGAGCTTGGTTGAAATTGCCTTCTTTGTTTCTTCTTCAAGTCACACAGATTTTAAATTTGGGGTATCTGAGGGCCACACAAGTGGCATGGACTGGTCCATCAAACCAGGGATCAGCTGTGGAGGCAGAGTCTCTCGACTTGGGAACTGACAAACAAGCTTTCCCTGCTTCCTACTGGTCTTGAAGCTTTTCTTTCTTCTGCTGTTCTCAGCTTCCCTCCTCACATTCCGTTCTCCCCCCTTCCTCTTCCTTTCAGATGATATGATCTTCTGAGATGCCCCTCTGGGATGATGTCACAGATAGGACATGTGCCCAAACTCCTGGCCATGTTTCCCTCACATACAGTAATTCTGGACTTACCAGAAAAGCCTGAGCTAAAAGACCGCCCTTGTCCCTCAGACACATACTAATGCTGCCTGTTTCACTCTGGTCTTGGCTGCATTGTCTTTCCTATCTGCCAACTTTGCAATGGAGTTAAAAGTGCACTTAGTATTTCTTTCAGAACTTGACTGTTTTTATTCAAAAATATTGTTTTGTGAGTCTCCTCTGTCATATGACATAAATGAAGGTCCAAAATATTTACCTTGAAGAGTAAAACTATGTCCTTCATATTTATATGTGTATCTGCTACGGGGAAGTGGTGCTTTATTTAATTTAAATGTTTATGAACAGCACATTAACAAAATGTCAGTGAAATTTCTTTCGAAAGCCTATGTTATAATATCATAGTATAGACAATAATGCTTAAAATGTATTTTGACTGCTTGCTAAGTGTGAGTCATATATTTTTACTTAATAGATTGCATGGGTATTGTTTGGTTACAGAAATATCAAGAAAAAAGTACAAGGTCCCATATTACAAGATCCCATAGTCAAATGATGATATACATGTTTGATATTGCATATTGTTAAAAAATTCACAATAGAAAGCATTTTACATTAAGATTGCATCTAAAATACATGCTCATCTCATGTAAGTGTATTAGATTAGGACCTTAATGAGTGCCGTTGTTTTTCTGTGGCCACAGTGGGAGTAATCACTAAAATTTATTATTTTATAAACTCTCCTAATGTGGTCTAACTTGTTTATTTCTAGAAAAAGTTTATTATGCATATTTATGGAAGACATAACATAATGTTGTGGGATCCACGTAGACAGCAAAGTGGTAACTATGGCAGAGCCAATTAATATACCCGTCACCTAATAGACACACTCATTTTTCACTTACTTTTTGTTTTTGACAAAACAGCTAAAATCTACTCATTTGGCAGGAATCCCAAATGCACTGCAATTTTATTAATTACTGCTCTCATGCTGTGCATTATCTCCCCAGAGTTCTTCATCGTTCATTTCTGCTGTCTGTAACTAGTGAGCTACCCCTCCTCCTTTCCATGCCAGCACCCTTCGTGTCCAGACTTACTTTCTATCTACATACATCTGAACTTAAAAATTCCACATTTAAGGAAGATTATTTCATATAGTACAATGTCCTCCAGTTTCTGGTTTATTTCTAATGATATGATGTGAAAAATATCAGGGTCTCCTTGTCAGAGATTTAACATTCCATTGTACGGATTGTCTGTCTGTCTCCTGGTTGGGCATCTGTGCTCCTCTCTTAGCCATTAGAGATAGTGCTGCAGGGAAAATGGAGCTGTAGATACTTTTATAACTGAGTAAATTCAACACTCGCTGGTTATATGCACAAAAGAGGGATTGCTGCACCCTAAGGTTGTTTTGTTTTTAATATCTTTAGGAACCACTGCTCTGTTTACAAACTGGCCACAGCGATCCATAGTCTCCCCATGAGCAGTCAGATTGTTCCTTATCAACATTTTCATCTTTTAGTCCTTTTAGGCTTCTAGATACTAGCTGTATTTTAGTTGTTTTTGTTTTGTTTTGTTTTGTGTGTGTGTAAGAATAATGGCTTCATCGCTTTGCTTCTCATTCCTTCATCTCTGATGGTCAATGACACTGATCATACTTCCACATATGTGTACTGCAGCTGTCTTTTTTTTTTTTGAGTAACATCTATTTGGATCCTGTACTTGCTTAACTTCATTTTGCTTGTGCAAAACGTATACCTTTGTCTAATGTCAACGTAGTTGTACATGAACACAATGACATATGTCAGGTTGTTCACAGCCTGTATGAAACATAGAATGTACGCAAAACTAATGGATTTCTGGTGGTTGTTTTTGTTTTTGTTTAACAATAAATATTGTACCTGATTAACAAGGCTACGTAAGTCTATTTGTGGATTTTTGCTATGTATGATGATGGCTTTAGTAAATATATGACTTTCATCTTGTTACCTTACAGATAAACATGGACCAAATACAGGCACCGTATACAGTAATGAATTACATTGACTAAGTATCTGAATTAATATTATACTATCAGTTTAAACATTTTTGTTCTTGTGATTGAGCAAATATTACATCTAATTCATTTTAAATATTCTATATATCAATGTAAATCAGTTCCTGACATAATTTCTTTGAATTCATTTTTTAAAAAATTTACTTTTATGTATCTTTATGTGTGTATATGTGAGTGTACACCACATGTGTGAGGGCCCATAGAGAGTCCAGAAGAGGGCAGTGGGTCCTCAGGAGTTGGAGGTACCGGATAGTGAGTCACCTGACTTGGGCTCTGGGAAATGACCTTAGGTCCTCTGGAAGAGCAACATCACTCTTAACCCGTGGCTCATCTCTCCAGCCCCTTCTCTCAACTCTTTGGCACAACAATGACTTTGGCCAAGTCGCTTGGTGAGATATAAAAGGTGATACACTAGAAATGAGGGAAATGTGACCAATTCAACTTTTTTGGCCTGCTTTAGTACAACCAAAATTTATTTCCTATAATATGCTAGAATTTTAAAAACCATAATGTATTTCCACTGTATTACTTGATTGAAAATTTATTAATGTAATCATATTTTTTGTATTATAGTGAGTGGACATCCAATACTGAAGAGAGCTAACATCCGGACTGTTGGCAAATTGGTGGCTAGATCCATAAGAGAAAGGAAAATGAGACAATTTTATAAATTGTGAGAAGTGAAGCAAGTTTTCAGTGCAGCTCTCCTTTAAAGAGTTGAACCGGTCTCCTCAGAAATGTGTTAGTGATGACCACAGAATGATTTGGTATCAACAGGGCAAAAGACTAACATCTTTGCATATGTAAAAGGGGACTTGGACAAGTTAGTTCATCATGTGTAAGTGTGTTTGGATGCGCCCTCTTTGTCTTCTTCATTAAACATCATAATGAAGTGAATCTGTACCGTGTCATTTACTGCTTTCATTTGACTGAAATCTGTTCTGTTCCACTGCCGGTAATTGTTACAAACTTTAAAACTGTTATTTTCAAAATTCCCGGTTCTGTTGTTAAAAAATTTAATTCATCATTTTTATTCTTTGAAAATTATATCAGCGTGCTATTTTGTGAAATGGAACATTTCAAATAGTTTATTTTACAGAATGTTAAATCACTTATGGTTTTCAGGGTGTTTCCGAAAATTGTGTCTAAGTCATTGCCATTTTTTCCAACTTAGTGCTCTTTCCCTACCCTTATTGTTCATTCTAACAGGAAGAGCTGACATCCAAGATGCTTTATATCTGATATTCCTTACCTTGAGTGCTGCAAGAAATTTCAGTGCAATGGCTACATCTTCAATTCTTTAAGCATCTTGAATTCAGTTTTATTCCTATGTCTATCCTTAGATTCATAGTCAATGAATAGGGTTAGAGAAGCAAGGGTCTTAGATGCAGTTGTGGACAAGCAGAATATACGTAAGAACAGACATAGATGTGAGTAATGATAGTGTGAAGGCATTTGGCTATTTCAACATTCTTAACATTGGCATATTACTTCTATAATATCATTTTTGCTCTCATAATGTAGTTTACTGTAGAAATACATGGGAATGAACTATGAAAGTCTATTTCTCACTAAAACCAGAGCCAAGGTAGCCTATAAGCTATGAGAAAGACTAATCAGAAAATTATAGCTCTTATATCCAACAGGGAAGAAACACTGGTTACTACCTAAAACATAACTTGTATGTGAAATTAAATAGCATAGTTTTCTAATTGTTCACTTTGATAAGAAAGATTTTCATTACTTGTGTACTGAAAACAGGAATACACAATCAAGAACAAGGGAAAAATATAAACATGACTTAAATCTCAGTATGGGAAGGGCCTGTCTGTCTGCTTCTGGCTATGGGGTTGATAGATGACACATTGGCTGTATTTATATCCCTGCTACTCCAAAGTTTTGGGAGAAAGACAGTATGCAGTGATAATTAAAGGTTATTATGAACCTGAAAACCATGGTCTCCTAATAAACATTATATAATCTTTTTTTAAATAAAGGGCGGTATGTATAGGAGGCAATTAATATAACAAATCACATCAAAATTACTTTATAAAAATAAACCAAAATTTTATTATGAATATAATATTTGGGGCAAAATATAGAAATACTTTTAGAAAGTGATCTCTGTTGTCACTCTCTCCTACTTTTCATTGTCATTGGTTTTCAGAAAACTAAAGTAAGGCTTCTAAAGTCTTTTAGAAGTGTGGCCCTACATTAAGTCCACTGATAATATGTCTCTCCAGTACTGTGGAAGACAGTGTAAGGTCAGGGAAAGGAGCCTTCACTTTTCAACAGTCAGATTATATATAAAAATTGGCACTTGGTGCTCATCAAAGAGCAAGAAATATTGGATCTGCTCTAAATGTCCATTGTGTTTTGGAGCCAATTACCTGATGGAAGTCATCACTTATATGCAAATGAACTGTCAATGGCTTACCACAGTTGGCAATCACTGGACTGTGAAGGGTATGTCTTAATAAGAACTGAAGCTTCTTCACATACTTTGATTTACTGGAAATAAAATGGAAAAGTCCTTTGAGACTACAAAGGACACTTGTTTCAGATAAAACGTCTAGACAGTAGCAATATATTTATGGCTTTTATTATACCAGAACTGCAAATTAGAACCGAGTGGTGAGAAAGGCCCTGTGACCCAGCTAGATTCTAAAGCGCTCCTTTGCCTGGAGCACTATGATCTTTAATACAACTAAGCCAACTAAACAAGAGCCCCTTAAGGAACAGGGGTCAGATATGCAAGGTCAAGGTTTGGTTTCTTACATCTTTTTAAATTGTTTGCATCTTACTTTTTATATTTTCTGGAAAAAATGTATCTTTCTTAGTTAATGCAGCTATTAAAATGGTTGAAAGTTCAGTTTCTCTGTTCCTGAAACGTGGATCACAAATCAAAAAATTCTAATGTAAGTGAATTATTTTTTCTTTCCAACTTTACTTCCAAAGCAGAGATACACCTGAAATACTTAATTATCTGTTCTGGTGCTCTATTTATTTTTCAATCTTAACATTTTTTTTCCTTTAAATATGCATTTTGTACCGATAGAGGTAGTGTCTTAGTTAGGATTTTTATTGCTGTGAATTGACACCATGCACACAGCAACTCTTATAAAGGAAAACATTTAAATTGGAGTTGGTTTACAGTTCAGAAGGTTAGTCCATCATCATCATGACAGGAAGTGTGGTGACATGCAGGCAGACATGATGCTGGAGAGGTAACTGGGAGCTCTACATCTGGATTGACAGGCAGCAAGAAGAGAGAGAGAGAGAAACTCTGGATCTGGGTTGAGCATTTGAAACCTCAAAGCTGACCCCTCAGTGACTCACTTCCACCAACAAGAACACTACACCTAATAGTGTCACTTCCTACAAGCCTTTGGGGGTAGGAAAGTGAAAGGGGCCCCTTTCATTAGAACAACCAAAGGTAGCATTACCTTGTCTTCTTCAACTTGATATACTGGTCTATGCATCTTTCTTTCTTCTCTTTTCTTTATTCCTTTCTTTCCTCTTTAATCTCTTCTTCAAGTTTACTAAGTAATTCTAATCAGTGAAGGTTCTACCTGTTAACAAAAAAAACCTTCCAAAGTTAAGTTGCACTTTCAAACAATGCTCTTGATGTCTACTGTAGGTATGAACATCAGCTGTAGGCATTTCCTGACATCACACTGTTGTACGATCCTACTTCCACTTTCCTCTTGCTTATAAGTTGCAGCTTTGTCTTATTTTAAAGCATGTTTGCTGTGCCTAGTATTATTCCTGTAAATAATTCTCTGCAGAGAAGGCAAACGTATCATTTATTTTAAAACGTATCATTTATTTTTAAAGATGGTTGATAAACTTTTGAAACTCAGAAAATGTAACAGTTGTTCGTAATCCACAAAAATGAAAGGATGTGATAGGAAGAGGTCTATCAATTGAATTTCTCTGAATTTTGACAACCTGTGTATTAAAATCTAAAAGATTGTAAATTGCATATAATTTCAATGATAATGCAGTGGTTAGTCTGGAAGTTAAATCTCTTGAAGAGTTAGATGACAAATGAGCATGTATTGGATTTTATAGCAAATGAAATATAATTATAAGGAAAACAGATTGCCTTATACATATGTAGGGTTTGAAAAATTTCATCGTAAGTCAAGATGCCTGGTTACAATGCAAAGTGTCTGAAATAATGTGTTTTAATCATCGCTGGTGGCTGAGATTCTTAAATCGGTGATTTGATTAAAGTATTCCCATGTATGATCCCCATCCCTTTATAGTAAAGCAGCAGCAAAGTCTATGAAAACATGTATTGAGTATTTTATAGAAATGAATACCGACACAGCTGCCATCTATCCAGTCCAAGGCTGTGATCATACAACCAAATGCTGAGGCTGAAAAGGGAAAGAAATCAGCCTGCAGTTTCGTGCCAGAGCTGGAATTTGGAAATAGAATTTCAGATATCAATTCGTTCTTTGTCGTTTTATGATACGACAACTTCATGGAAGAGTTTCCAGCACAGCCTTAAGCAACCACTCAGACTCTGGGGGAAGAAAACTTCTCAATTTCCATCATTCTTGTCCTTCCCACATGAAAAAAATCTTTCTGCCATTTTCTTCTCTCCTTTGCCATAGATTTGTAAGTTGACTCAACTAAGTGGATTCAAGGTGTTAATGGGCCCTAATGACTTCATATATAAATTATTTGCATTTTTAACTGCTTTGTGTGTCATTGTGAGTAATGCCAGGAGCTTTAGGCATTGTTAAACCAGTTGATAAGTATCCTGATGACCTGCATGCTACAGATTGATTGCTAGATTCATAAGTACAAAACATAAATTTCGTTTTGTGCATCTCTTGTGACTTTTGTTAGGTGATTCTTATAGTATGCATCTGAGAGTAAATCAGCAGCTAATTGTATATTTATATTTTAATATATGATAAAACATTGTCTTACCTTGTATCCTAGCCTAGCTTACATAAAATATCGTATATATACAATTACAAAGATGTGTTTGTGTGTCATTGAATTTATTTGGTATTTTCAGGTAACACAAACCAATGAAGTACATAGTCCTTTATCCACCAAACAGCCTTCAAGCCTTTATTCATCACTGTTCTACATGTAGGTCAACTTTTCACAGCTTTAATACATGGGAGAGAACATGTGTACCAGGGTTTGTTGTTGTTGTTGTTGTTATTATTTTTGAGTTGACCTATTTTACATAGCATGAAATCCTGAGTCCCATATGATTTGCTACAATTGACAAGACTTTGTTCTTCTTTATGATTGATTAATGCCCTTGGTTATGTTCACTGCATTTGCTGTCCAGTAATCTGCTGATGAACATTTTAATGATTCTCTTTTTTAACTATGGTAAGTGTGGGCTTCTTTTGGCCATGTCTTTTGCTGTATGTCTAGAACTAGGCTATCAGGTTCTACATTTGTTTGTAGGGCACTTTCATTATGGTTATTAGTGTAAGAAAAGTTATTATACTGCTTTCCATATATGTGTCTTAACTTTTATATTCCTGCTCAGTTCATATGTATATATATATATATATATATATATATATATATATATATATATATATACACTTACGAAAGGAAGGCTTCTGAGAGGAAAGACTATAATACTTACATGTCTGACATGTGTCTTTGTGGGCATACTTCTTAATAGAGAGAATTTAAACCAGATTGACTTAGAAAGCAGAGTAAGCTATCTAGAATTGAATGACTTTAGTTTTTTATCCTGCAGTAAATATTGGAAAATCTATTAATGGTAGTAGGACACAGCAACAGGCTCAAATGATGCTTTTATCTAAATTGAAAGTATCACAGAAGTAAAAGAACTAAAACTATATGCTTGTTGTATTTGTGAGCCTACAATAATCTAATATTATTAA